GCTGGTGCAAGTATATTCCATTACGAGGACGGGTATCTCTCAAAGAGGACTGTGTCCACACATTTTTATTACTCCAAAAGCTTTTCCCACCGGCTCGGGGTTTTTTCAGCTCATAGCTTATCCTTTCTCATGTCTGCCTTCCTCCTTGCCTAGCTGGCTCTCCATTTCAGTTCAGCCTTCCCATCCTTGGGGGATTGGTCCCTCACTCCCAATGACTTGGTCAGTGTTCTCTTTTATGGCTGGGCTGGTATCATGCGTATCTTTGGCAGCAAAGACGAGGTTGTGGTTTACAAAAGTAAACTCAGTTAATGGATGCGAGCCCCGTTGGACTTTAGCTCCGTAACTGCAGGGGCAAGATCTGGTTTTCTCTTCCTTGCTTAGAACAGTGCCTGGCCCAGAGAAGAGGAACAGCAGACATTCTTTGCTGGAAACATACAGTTGTCACCTTCCATACATGCTCTTGGATTGCAAAGATATCTGCAGCCAATAACAATGGTGGTAATAGAAAGAGTAGCAACATTTGATTGCTAACCATGGCCAGACACTGTAGAAACACAGTTTATTACATTTAATCCTTGCTACAAATGTATAAGCTATAAACGATTACAATTTCCATTGTATAGTTGAGGCAGCCGAGTGTAGAAAGCAAGAAACTTGCTCAAAATTGTACATTTTCAAAGCCAGAAAGTCCACCTCCAGCACTGATGATCTGTGCATTGTAAAGAAAGTGGTACTTTCAGGTTGGATGTCTAGTAGCGGTGACATGTCAGATGGACTGGAGGTGGATGCAAGTTAATTTCCATCTCAGTTGCCCCTTGCGCCTCAGTTTCTGATCAAATAAATTTTTCTAGTGGAGGACTCCTCACTGTAGTTCCTTCACCTGTCCCTCTTTAATTCTTTTTTCCTTCTTTTGGTTTTTAGACAAGATTATATATTAACAACAGCAAACACCGGCATGGATGTAGGCACCAGAAATTCTCATTCAGTGGGAATGCAAAACAGCACAGCCACCTTCGAAGGCACTTCGTTAGTCTCTAAAAAATGAAACATACTCTCACCATATAAGCCAGCAATTAGGCTCTCTGCTATTTACCCCAAAGAGTTGACAACCTATGTCCACATGAAAACCAGACAAGGATGTTTGTACCTGCTTTATTCATAGTTGCCCAACTTGGAAACAATCAAGATTTTTAAGTAAGTGAGTGGATAAATAAACCACGGCACATCAGACAATGGACTGTTATTCAGTACTAAAAAGAAATGAGCTATCAAACCTTGAAAAGACACGGAGGAATCTAAATGCATATCACTAAGTGAAAGAAGCCCATCTGGAAAAGGATGCATGCTGTATGATCCCCACTGTATGATATCCTGTAAAGGGTAAAACTGTGGAGACAGTAAAAAGATCAGTGGTTTCCACAGGTTAAGAAGGAGGAAGAGAGGGTTTCCCTGGTGGCGCAGTGGTTGAGAGTCCGCCTGCCGATGCAGGGGACACGGGTTCGTGCCCCGGTCCGGGAAGATCCCACATGCCGCGCAGCGGCTGGCCCGTGAGCCGTGACCGCTGAGCCTGCCTGTCCGGAGCCTGTGCTCCGCAGCGGGAGAGGCCGCAACAGTGAGAGGCCTGCATACCGCAAAAAAAAAAAAAAGAAAAAAAGGGGGTCTACCATGAGGTTTTTGTATAGCAGTCTAAATATATATATACACACACACACATATAATATATATATGATTGTTTTAAGTTGCTGATCTCCTAATTTCAAATGGATTTTAAAAACCCTGCATCTGTACTCTCCTCCCATTACAATTACTGCTTTTTGACGTCATATTTTACATCTAATTGTTTTGCGTATCCCTTAACGGCTTATTGCGGATACAGACGATTTTACTACTTCTGTCTTGTAACCTCCCTACTAGCCTTGTGTGTGGATGGTTTCCTACCTTTACTGTATGTTGCCTTCACTGGTGAGCTTTCTCACTTCATAATTTTGTTTCTAGTTGTAGCCAAGAAAGGGGTCTAAATAAATGGAGGCACCCACCTTACTTTCAAGGAAATACGAAAGCATTTAATGATGTCAGCTGTTCTCAAACTACTCTATCAGTGCAGCCCCCATTAGAATCCTAATATGGTAGCTGTGGGCTTATTTTAAATTCTAAAGTGCCGTTTGGATGTCTCAAAATTAGCACGTACTCACTTACAGGGTTGAGAGGAGGAGCCCGACTTTGGTCCCACGTTCAAGCCCAGCTCTGGTACTTTCTACTTGTGGGGACACCAGCAAGGTGCTCACCCTCCCAGCCTCAGTTTCCCCATCTGTAAAATAAGGTGAATAATCCTGCCTACTTCATGGGATTTGTCTTAGGATAAATAAATTAATACAGGAAAAAATGTCCAGCACAGTATCTGGCAGTAAAAGTAGCTATGACACTTAAGTAACCAAAAGGAAAAGAATACAAGTACTAAGTCAAACAAAGTAAATCACCTCTCTCCCAAAGTCAAATAACAAACTGAGTCTGCCTGACTTTGCCTATGAGGAATGTTTATTTATCCTAAATGCTAACAAATTGTGCTTCAAAATTTGACTCTGGTTCCATTGGGATTTCTCTCAGTTAAGAAGAGACCATTCCTTTTTCAATCACTTTGTTTTATGGCGAGTTCTAAGTGACTGTTATTGTGGTTTTGATATTCTTAGTACTGACTATAGGAACGAGGGTATAGGAAGGTGGTGGGTGGAGATAGATATTATTTATCCCAAGACAGACAGGGACTCTGGGGACTCATGTCTTCAGCGGGATGCTCTGGTCACTCGTGTCCTTTTGGCTGAGGCTGGAAATCCCAGAGATTCTTTAGGTCTTGCAACTGATGAACATATGTCCCACCTCCCCTTTCATAATCCCTCTTGTTCCAATTTACCAAAGACAGTAGGTTTCTGCGTCATCCACCAGAATCTTAACACAGAGCCTTGACTCTGCGTTTAGAAATCCCTGGACCTCAAAGAAACAGTTTAAAGTCTTATTTGGTGATACAGAAAAATTTTTCTATATCAAGTGATTTCTACTTCTTTCCTCTAATAAAATCAAAAGAGGACCTAATTTAGCTGACTGATAAATTATTAAAAATCATTTTGAGTGATAAATTACGATGCCATTTTTAGCCTGTAGTTCAGAATGATTGAAAAAATTGAATGGCATCGCTATCACAAAACTCATTCTGCAACCGCAAATTCATGTGACAAGTGTTTTCAGAGTTTACATCCATGAAGATGAAAAACATGAATAAAAGTACCTCATTTTAGCAATAATTCACAGTATCCATGTACATGTAAAATCAAGAGTCCTCATTCAGTTCATGAAGAGATACATTTATCAATAACGTTTTACATCATGTGTTTAAAAAGAATCAACAATTGAAATAAATGTCTGGTCTTCATGCAAAGTTGCAAGCATCTCTGCTGGGGCCCAAATCACCAATACACCTTATCTTGCAAACTCCTTGAAGCCATTTTATCCCTGCTTCCCATGCCTTTCTGCATTGTGGAACCTATGAGATTTATGCCCTGAGGTTCCTCAGGGAAACGTGTGAGGGATGTAGCCACTCCTTACTACTCCCACAGACCACCTGCCAGCCCCACTCCTACCCCTAATGCAGCTCAGACTTTGGGCCAAGGATGTGAGCTGCAGAGGGAGGTATATAACATGGAAAAATCCACTGGGCATCAGAGGTTGTTTCCTTCACCTTGTTCACCAACTCTTGCCGTGAAGTGATGGCCTTGTGATGTTTAAATCTCTTTTCTGTGTCATACCTTAGGCAGAAGGAGGTAAGAAAATATCAGAAATGCTTGGTTTGCTCCGGAATTCTCCGTAACAGTTACTCATTGTGTGCACTGGGCTACCTGTGCTGTTCATAGTGCTGGGGATCCAGCCCAGGTACCAGTTGAGACACAACCTACAGTTTGGGGACCATCATCCACTTGTAAATTGACTTCATCCACCATGTGGCATCAGTGGGGTACTCCCATGAGCCAGTGCTATCAGGTACACTATTTGGATGGCCCAAGGCCTCCTCTCCTGAGAAGGCAGAGCTGTGTTCATCACAATACATTTTGCCTCAATAATACAATTTTTAACTTTGTATTTGGGATTAACTTCAAACGCGCGGAAACACTGTAATGATATGTGTAGTAGAACACCATCATGCCGTTACCCAGACGCACTTTCTTAAAATTGAAGTATAGTTGGCGTACAATATTTTATAAGTTGCAAGTGTACGATAGATTCACGATTTTTAAAGATTTTATTCCATTTACAGTTATTATAAAATATTGGATATATTCCCTGTGTTGTACAATATATCCCTTGTAGCTTATACATAATAGTTTTAATTCCCTACCCCTATATTTCCCCTCCCACCCTCCCTATCCCCACTGGTAACCGCTAGTTTGTTCTCTGTACCTGTGAGTCTGTTTGTTTTTTGTTATATTCACTAATTTGTCGTATTTTTAAGATTCCACATAAAAGTGATACCATACAATATCTGTCTTTCTCTGTCTGACTTATTTCACTGAGCATAATACCCTCCAAGTCCATACATGGGGTTGCAAATGGCAAAATGTCATTCTTTTCTATGGCTGAGTAGTATTCCATTATATAGATATACACCAGATGCACTTATTGTTGATGCATTGCTTGATTTACTTTATATACGTTCTTTTGGAGACTTCTTCTCACAGAGACACAGGCCAAACATTTCAATACATGGAAGAAAAATTCCAACAGACACGCATAGCCTTTAACATGAAATTATACCCGTATATTCCACTGGCCCCAAAGCTGTGGCAAGGCCATACATACATAAAGTCAGGGATGATGTAGGGACTAAAGAAACTACAATAAGCAGATCTTTTGTGGATGCGAACCCTCCCATGTCAAGAAGAACATGTAGGCTGCATTTGAAAGATTGGAGGAGCACTGCATTAATGAAACTGTCATGGGCTCCTGATTTCCAGGCAGTGTTCCAGAGGTTTCCCTTACCATGCAGAAGACACTTGAATGTCAAGGACTCTCCCTCCATCCGAAGCCCTTTTCTGCAGGAGTCAAGACTGCCAGACCAAGGTGAGGCACTGTTCCAATACGTCTGTTCTACCTGGGGAACGGATGTTACCGAAAGCAATTCCGAGGGAGAGCTGCCTTGTAGCAGTGAAGCCAGGTGTTAACAACTCTTCCTGCCCCTCCCACAGTAAGGTGAGCTGGCGTGTCCTTGAGATACACGTTCTCATTGTAGGGCAGCCCCACAGGTGCAGGAGACCCCTGAGGACAGCAAGTCACAACCCCTTCACTGGTCCTTTCCTGAATAGGGGAGTTTGAGTCCTCTGCAAACACAAGTGCCACTTATAATAATGGAAATAGCAGATTTTCGCCACCTTTCCCCTTGAGAAGAAAGGAGTAACTCTATGGTGTCCATGACAGGTTGAATGAAAATGAAGGTTTTAAAAAAATTTTACTTATTTATTTGTTTGTTTTGGCTGTGTTGGGTCTTCGTTGCTGTGTGCGGGCTTTCTCTAGTTGCGGTGAGCAGGGGCTACTCTTCGGTACGTGGGCTCCTCATTGCAGGAGAAGCAGTGGGCTCAGTAGTTGTGGTTCGTGGGCTCTAGAGCTCAGGCTCAGTAGTTGTGGAGCACGGGCTTAGTTGCTCCACGGCATATGGGGTCTTGCCGGACCAGGGATTGAACCCGTGTCCCCTGCATTGGCAGGCGGATTCTTAACCACTTCGCCAGAGGGAAGTCCCAATCTCAGAGTCTCTTGCCAGCTGCCTTCTCATTAAGTTCTCTAACGGAAGGCACTGATGAAGCTAGGAAGGTGGGAAGAGGGCAGTAGTCATGTGCTGCAGTATTGTTTAAGGGAGAAAAGCTTTCTAGAATCCAGTTTAGAATTTGTCTATCTGTGGCAGACCACTAATTGGGGACCTGATGCCTTCCCACGATCAACAGAGAGAGAGGCAGAGAAACCAATCAATAAAATAAAGAATTTGAGGTGTGGCCCTGACTTGCCAGCCCTGGGCTATATGGACTATGTCAGCTTGAGAGAACCAATTCGTCTTAAGTCCCAGTAAATGGAGATGCACTTCCTTCTTTACATGAGAGTCCGTATTGTGCTCATCTGGTGTATTGAAACTTTTTAACGGGAATCTGGACCTCTCATAAAGGTGTTTTGGTCCATGTATCACTGTTTTTTTTTGTTTTTTAAAAAATATTTATTTATTTATCTTTGGCTGCATTGGGTCTTCGTTGCTGTGCGCGGGCTTTCTCTATTTGCAGTGAGCGGGGGCTACTCTTCGTTGCAGTGGCTTCTCTTGTTGTGGAGCACGGGCTCTAGGCGTGCAGGCTTCAGTAGTTATGGCACGTGGGCTCAGTAATTGTGGCTCTCCCGGCTCTAGAGTGCAGACTCAGTAGTTGTGGTGCACGGGCTTAGTTGCTCTGCGGCATGTGGGATCTTCCCGGACCAGGGATCGAACCCGTATCCCCTGCATTGGAAGGCGGATTCTTAACCACTGTGCCACCAGGGAAGCCCCATGTATCATTATTAAATCAGTCTTTCTGTGAGGGAATAAAGGCTGGGACTTCCGCCATCTTGCTGAGTTCACTCTGGGGATATCCTAGTTCCTCTCTAATTTCCAGCAGCTATCACGGAGAGCATATAAAAGCTGCTGTATTTTTACATATTGTTGATACATCTAGCCACCTTACAAAGTATCTCATCTTACTATCTTAATACTGCTTGTTGTATTTCAAGAGCCTGTCTCATGTTTCCTGGCAAAACAATCATGCTCTCTGCAAATGAATGCGTTTTCTGTCTTCTTTGGAAATATTTAGGATTGGTCCATTTTATTATTTTTGTCGCTACTTAGGGGGTTGACACAAAGCAAGGTTGACTGACTGCATGTCACAGGCATATTTTTGTTTATCCTGGATTTTAATGGAAATGTCATTAGCATCCATTATTTTATTTTATTTTAATTTTTTTAAATGATTTTCTTTGTTTTGGCCGTGCCACGCGGCTTGTGGGATCTTAGTTCCCCAAACAGGGATGGAACCCAGGCTCTCGGCAGTGACATCAGCAAGTCCTAACCACTGGACCGCCAGGGAATTCCTGCAGCCATTATTTTAGAACTGCACTTGCTCTTGGCATTGTAAATTATTTTTTTGTACCTAAATAGTTTCTTCTATACTTATTTTACTTTAAATTTTTATTAAGAATGGTCATTGAGTTTCATTAAATAACCTTCATCTAGTCGTATAATAGGGAGATTTCTTTTTTTCAGTTGTTGAGATGTGTATGATATTGAACTGCACCCTTGGTTTTGGAATCCCCTGTGTATGTTTCACATTTTAATCCAAGGCCACCCCTGGCCTATATTTAATGATTTCAGAGGAGAACTTTTATACACACACACACACACACACACACACATTGACATAATACTGTGGTTCTCAAAGCATGGTCCATGGGCCACTGTGGAGCTCTGAGATTCTTACAAGGGGTCCTGGGAGATCAAACTCTTTTAATAATAATACTAAGTTATTATTTTTCAGGTCACTCTCATTCTCTTACAATTGTTCTTTAGAGTTTTCCAGAGGCTATGTGATATGTGACACAGCAACAGATTTAATGCAGAAGAAAATATATTTCAGCAGTTTTCTATCAGTCATATGTTAAAGAGACTTGCAAAAATCTAAACATTGGTAATCCCAATGCAACGCAATTTTTTTTGTCCTTTTGGAAAATATAAACTTTTTAATAAAGATATGCTATATATTAAAATATATGAATTTATTATTCTTATGATTAAATAAAAAATAAATATTTTATAAATGTCTCCATTTTAAACTCTGTGTAAATGTAGATATTATAAGCCACTTAAACAGAAGCTCTTTTTTGTGGTCCTTAATCGTTTTTACAGTTATAATGGATTCCCTTTTCTGAGAACCATTGACATAATATAACCACAGACATGTAAGTACATTTTATACACGTATCATTTAAATAATACTAAGTACCCTACTTATTATTTTCACTCCTAGCTATCAATACTCATAAAAACAAGGAAGGTTGAGGGACCTCCCTAGTGGTCCAATGGTAAAGAATCCACCTTTCAAGATCCCACATGCCTCAGGGCAACTAAGCCCCCGCACCACAACTACTGAGCTCACGCCTCAACTAGAGATCCTGCGTGCCGCAAACTACTGAGCCCAAGCACTCTGGAACCCACGCACCGCAACTAGAGAAGAGAAAACCTACACTCTGCAACTAGAGAGAAGCCTGCGCGCCACAACGAAGAGCCTGCATGCTTCGGTGAAGATCCCGTGTGCCGCAACTAAGACCTGACACAGACAAAAATAATAATAATAATAATTTTAAAAAAAACAACAAGGACGGTTGAGAAGAAGTGGAAGTTGACAAAAGGATGATCAAGGAAGATCTCACTGAGAAGGAGATATTTGAGTAGAGACCAAGGAAACAAGAGAAATTGAAATGAGATTAAAACAGGATTGGTGTGCACTGCATATTCCTATATGTGTTCAAAGGCAAATAATAATAATAATAAATTTTAAAATAGTATTTAGTTGTTAGATTGTGTATATTTGGCAAATACACTGCTCAGAGACAGGACTAAGTGGGCAATTAATAGATATTTTTTAAGATTTTTTTTTTGGATATGGACCATTTTTTAAAGTCTTTGTTGAATTTGTTACAATATTGCTTCTGTTTTATGTTTTGTTTTGTTTTTCTTGCTGCGAGGCACGTGGGATCTTAGCTCCGTGACCAGGGATGGAACCCGTACCCCCCGCATTGGAAGGTGAAGTCTAAACCACTGGATCACCAGGGAAGTCCCAATAGATCTGAATCCAGTAATTCTTTCAGTCTCTGATATTCTTTCTTTACCTCCAAAACACATATATATCTTCATCCTTCTACTTATTTATTTATTTATTTTTTGCGGTACGTGGGCCTCTCACTGTCGTGGCCTCTCCCGTTGCGGAGCACAGGCTCCGGACGCGCAGGCCCAGCGGCCATGGCTCACGGGCCCAGCCGCTCCTCGGCATGTGGGATCTTCCCAGACCGGGGCACGAACCCGCGTCCCCTGCATCGGCAGGCGGACTCCCAACCAGTGCGCCACCAGGGAAGCCCCCTTCTACTTATTTTTATATTATCTCAGTGGCTTCTCTAAAAATGGTTATTACTGTTACATATGAGTCCAAGCTGGGGGACTGGAGCTGGGGGTGCTCCTCAGAACCCAGTGGATGCTGAGAGTGGGCGGTGGGAGTATTTGCACTGGGCGTGGGCGTAAAGAGATGCAGTGCCTGTGGAGCATTTGAAAGTGATGAGTGAAAGTGAAGCTTCCCCGGAACCTACTTTTCTAAATAACATCAGTGATAAAGTCCACCTCCCTGAAGAGATATCAGTATAAGTTTTAATACTCGTTCTACCTTCCATTGCCCTGGAACAGACCACTCCCAGAGCCCTGTCCTCGATACTCCCCCGACTCCATGCGGTCAGTCAGGCACCCAGGCTGTCCTGATGAAGGCCTCAAGCATCTCTTAGGGCCTCAGGACTCTACTGGATCTTGGCGTTAGGTGGCAGATGAGGGAATAGGGAAGGGACTTTCTGAGACATGTCTGGAGGTGATGTTTCCCATGACTCCCGCATTCCATTGACCTGAACTCAGGGACGTGGCCACACCCCAGGGAAACAAAGCCAGCTGTGTGTCCTGGCGGCAGAGGAAAATGGCTTGGTAAATAGCTCTCTAGTATCTGTTTGTTTTGCTTTTTTAAACTGCTTTATTGACTTCACAATATATAATGAACATCTCTCCATGCAACAGGTAAAACTCTCCTGCTGATAGAAACTTACAGATTGGGTCAGAAACACAACATTCAATTAGAAGCTGGTAATAGGAGACCCACAAGAAACAAGTAACACCAAAAGGTTTACAACAAAGGTACATCACAAACATGTAAGTTTAGGAAACGGTGTGTCTCCCTACTACCTTCAGGGAAGACATCAGGATTCAAGGCATAAGGCAAAACTCATCATGATGGTCCTGGTGAGGGGGGTCAGGGCTAACTGCCCGCAGACTATGACTCACTGCTTTTCCCTCAGCTGCCTCACCTCCTCCTCAATCCTTTCCATATTCTCTTCTCTCATCCTTAGCTGTGGCTCTCTAAGACTCTGAGTCATGTCCCATCTACACTGCAGGATGGGCTGCCTAATGCAGAACCGCCTACGATTTCCTCTAGGTACACAATATTCACCAGCCTCCAAAGGGCCACGGGCTCTCCTTTATCAGCATCTCGCCCCTTTTCATCCTTGTTTTCATTCTCCTGGTTGGCATGTTCCATGTTGAGAATGTTACTGCCTGTTCCTCTTTGGACGCCATTGCTCCTGGGCCTGTCCTCGCTGTCTCCTGCTTCTCCCGATTCTTGCTGCATGTGCGCCGCCGCCACACTTCGACTCGCAGACCGTTTTCTGTGGCCAAACGCCATGCCACGGGGGGCATGGGGGCTGCCGTCTCTGCCCCAGGACCCCTGGGGAGGGGTCCACAGGCCGTGTCCGCTTGCCCACGCCATCTCTGGGGACCCCCCTCCGGGTCCCTTACCTGTTCTCCCTGCACCTCCTACTCTTGGGGGCCGACCCCGGCCCGCACCCCCTCAGGGCCACCAGGAGCAGGGAGCGAGAAGTGAGCGAGCGTCGGCCGGGCTGATATCTGTTTTTAATATCCTTACTGTCTAGAGCATAAACTATTTTGTAAATTGTTGATCTTGGTAGGCAAACACTATATTTCATTTCTTTTCCTTAAATTCTTTTTTTAAAAATAATATTTTAAAAATTTATTTTTATGTATTTTATTTTTTGGCCCTGTTGCGCAGCATGTGGGATCTTAGTGCCCCGACCAGGGATGGAACCTGTGCTCCCTGCATTGGAAGCGTGAAGTCTTAACCACTGGACTGCCAGGGAGGTCCCAATATTTCATTTCTAATCCTGTCACCCTCAGCAAGATCTATAAACAAAACACATTTTTTCAACAGCTTTATTGAGATATAACTCACATATCATAGAATGCATGCATTTAAAGGGTATATTTCAGTGGTTTTCAATATATTCAGGGTTGTGCAATCATCCCCACAGTCCATTGTAGAACATTTTTCATAACCCCCCAAAAGAACCCCCCAGACAGCAGACATTCCCCATTCCCAATAACTCCCTCAGTCTTAGGCAATAAGTAATCTACTTTCTGTCTCCATTCTCTTTTAATGCTGCCGATGAAAAGTCTGTTGTGAATTCTAGTTATTTTGTGGGAAAAGTTTAGAGTTTTCTTTTCAACGTTGATTTTCTGAAAGTTCACGGAAACTAGGATTTATTCAGACATCAGTCTTTTTCACTCATCTATCTTAGCCCTCACTGAGCCCTTTTAGTCAGAAACTGACGAAACACATTTATCTTTACTACCATCCCCAGGCAATTGCCATCCTGTTCTTTTTTTTTTTTTTTAACTGAAATATAGTTAATTTACAATATTGTGTTAGTTTCAGGTGTACAGCAAAGTGATTCAGTTATATATACATATTTTTTTTCAGATTATTTTCCATTCTGTTCATGTATTTTGTGAGAAGTGTTTTAACTCGAGTGTTTACTTCCAGGAGACACGATATTTGCTTTAGTCTAAGACACGTGTTAGAAGTGCAGCTAGAACGATGCACTTCTGCCTGGACAGATGTTACTATCCTGTCTCCAACTCCAAGTAATAAGAGTCCTACAGAGTGTACTTAGAAGGAAAACTACGAGCAATATTTCCATGAGGTCTTTTTCTCCATCCTCATTTCGCCATAAACTTCTAACACGACACTAAGGATTCTAGCCTCCTCCCTGGTCTGTGATTCCTGTTTCTTTCCATCCGAGTTTGTTACCAGTGCATTTTCCGCAGGGCATGTAGCCCTCACGTACCTACCGTCTGCTCTCCGTTCCCTATCCCCTGAGTGCTGAAGCTACTTATTAGGTAATGAGGATGCCAGGTTGAACCCTTTTCCGCTCCACAGAGCGACAGCCCAGTGCTGGAGAAAGACACCTAAAATAAATACATTGGGTATGTATTTGACAATTCATTGATTTATATTTTCTAGGAGCGTGGTGTTCTTTTACCGAGTGATTGGAGATTTTCCTATGATCATTCTCTTCTTGATTTTCAGTTTGATTCCACGATGGTCAGAGAACATACTTTGTACGATTGCACTTATTTTGCCATTGTCAAGGTTAGTTGAATGACGTGTTGGCGTGGACATCCTTTGCTCCCGTCTCCAGTGTTCCTGCTACACCCCCATCCTCTGGACATCTGGTAGTTGCTGGCGCTGTTGGCACGGCCCACTGTCATTCTCTTGAACTCCGCGTGGATTTCCAGGCACAAGTCCCTTGAACAGACACTCTTCGGCTATATCATTGGCCAGGTGGTGCGCCTGGCAAACACGTGACCATGGAGAATGGGTACCCTCACTCCACTGGGGCAGTTCTGTGATGTCCTGAGGCAGATGGAGGCCCAAGCTGTCCAGGTGCTGAGACTGGGGCTAGGAAGGGGCTTTCTGGGCCTGCCCTGTCTAGAGGCTGACATCAGGTTCTGCAGTCCTAGGAGGGTACCTCCTGGGAGCTGCCATTGCTCGGAATCCTGAGACCTCCTCCCTTCCAAGCCGGTCACCGGTCTGACTGGGAGATGGGAATTTCACTGACTACAGTCCCATTTGGTCTTCTGGCACCGCAGGGCAGGACCTTCTCTTGTGTTTCATTCCTGTCCGTGTTACACCTGACAGAAGAGTTGAACCTGGTGGGAGCTGAATTGTCCTGAGAAAGGGCCAGAGGTCTACCTGGTGGAGGGGATGGCCCAGGAAGGAAGAGGGACCCTCGGAGGTGTGAGCAGAAGTGGCAATAACTTATCCCTTGTTACAGGATTGTGGGGACTGGTAAAAGTAAGGGGAGCTAAGGTTTGATTTAAAAATCTCTTGCTTTGGGACTTCCCTGGTGGTCCAGTGGGTAAGACTCTGCACTCCCAATGCAGGGGGCCCAGATTCGAGCCCTGGTCAGGGAACTAGATCCCGCGTGCATGTGGCAACTAAGAAGTCCACATGCCGCAACTAAGAAGTCCACATGCCACAACAAAGGCCCGGCGCAGCCTAAATAAATAAATAAATATTTTTTAAAAATCTCTTGCTTTGCTTTATTCCGATGTAGTGCACACTTTTCCCTTGACCTTCCTGACTTTGTAGGTCATTGTGTGAATGAGCGGATGGACCATGTTGCCACTCGAGGGACACGACTAGGGAGATTCACACAATTGAAGGGGGCACCAAACATCTCAGGAAGTGGGATAAATAATACTTTTGTGAACTATTTTTAAAAGTCAAGATCAGTGCCATAAATCAAATTTTAAAATCAAGACAGGATTCACCCTGGCTTTTGCCTGAGTCACCTGTCTCACTGGCTCTGTTCCCAGCCCTGCACACTTGGGGCAGAGACAGAGAGAGCTGAGAAAAGTGCCCGGCCGTGGCCAGCAGAGGTCAGAATGAAGATGAAGACTGTGGCGGATCAGGGAATTGGGGCAGGACCCAACCGCCAGAACCTCCCCTCTGGTTCCTGGGGAGATGGGGGTGGGTGGGGAGGGGAGGAAAACCAGTTTCCAGACAAGGGATTAATTTTTTTTTGTTAACATCTTTGCTGGAGTATAATTGCTTTACAATGGTGTGTTAGTTTCTGCTGTATCACGAAGTGAATCAGCTATACGTATACATATATCCCCTCCCTCTTGCGTCTCCCTCCCTCCCACCCTCCCTATCCCACCCCTCCAGGCGGTCACAAAGCACTGAGCTGATTTCCCTGTGCTATGCGGCTGCTTCCCACTAGCTATCTCACCCATGAGTTCTTTAATGAATAATTGTGTGTGTGTGTGAGAGAGAGAGATATGAAGCTCTCTGAAGCCTCTACTTTAATCAGACAACAAAAAAGAACTTCAGGTTTGCAGATACT